GTGGAGCAGAGCCGCCGATGCCTGATTAAACAAGGCGTAATGAGAAGAGTCGACGCCGTTAAAAGCTGATGCGAGATTCTCAAAGGACCGACCTTTCACATGTAAAACTGTTCAGATTGAAAGTTGACAAAACTGATTCGTTATTGCTCATTGAACGATCATTTCAGCCATTCCAGATGGCAGCACTTGAGCTGCTTTACTGTTGCCATCAACTCTCACTTTGGAGCTTTAGTTCCTATTAAGAAATTCCACTGCATTTCTACACCTTTCTGACCTGATCCTTCTTTACTCACATTTGAGTTTGGGAATCACTTTTCTACTGCATGAGTCACTATTTCACTGAAGCACAAGCACATTTACTTGAATATAGTTCCTGTTAAACAGTTAAGAACCTGAAAAACTTGCATGCCAGACACCGACAAAAGGAAAACAACCAACCGACTTATTTTCAATGGTTTGAATCCTTTCAGGCTAAAGGAGAAGACAATAGGGCGAAGGGATGCACGTGAGAGCTGAATGTAAACAGCTCATTTAGCTGTCTATACAGTTGTCACCATGGAGGAGGAGCATTGTGGTACTCAACACAGCAAAATCCCCAGTGTTGCATTAACGCCCACAGCGTTTACCCCTTAAACTCTAGGCTTATTATTTAGTCATTAATTGATATTTAAGTAATTTTATGGGTTACTATGAATGATTCCAAAACTACTATGAAAATAATGCATAGTTAGAAAAGCAAGGAATTAAAGTGTGGACCCACATTGAAAGTTCATTCAATGCTGTAGGTGTTGAACAAATGGGGAATTTGCTGTGCAGGTGTACCACACATGCCGTGGAATGTTCTTCAGTTGTAGGACAAGAGGTCAAGTCCAGGGCAGGAGTTTTTTGCATAAGGGTGAAGATTATTTAACTTAATTTAGTGCCTTCTCAGTAACAGGGAGATTCATTCACATGCAGACCTCAACTCAACTGAAATTAGCTTTCATACCGTTTTGTGCCTATAGAGAAAAAATACCACTGGGTATGATAAACAAGTAGAGCTAGACTCACTAGGGATGCACAGCATAATTGAGACCACTTTGCAATGGGCAGATAACTCTTTAAATACCTCTATTTGTATCTATTTGACCAGTGTCTTAATCACACAATAATTAGTCCAGATCCGAAAGCATGGCTGCTTCTATGAAATGAATATATTCTCCTATCACTGGCACATGGGACTATGTATTATATTTTTAGAGCCATGCTGCTAATCCTGTTCCTGTTCAATGCAATCAATATCCATATTAATACACATCCTTGAAATCTATTTCAGTATTAGCATCAGCAGATACAGACATGGAAATATTGCTTACTGGCACTGATCCAGAATTCCAGCTTATTCCTGTAGAGGCCTTTTAAAGGTTAAATTACATTAAGCTCTTCTGATTGAAACTGTGAGACCTCTAATCTGTCCTTCATGAATTTATAATTCAGCGTCACAGGACTGAATCAATACTTGACCACTGGCTATTAAACTTCAGCATATCCACTGGCAAACTCCTCATTAAACCGTTCCATTTCTCGAGTGAAAGTGTCCATGAGTGAAAATAAATTATAGATTTGGCATCAAGAATGACACCGGTATGTCCTTTATCTGTGACGTAAACTAGTCTTCAGGCACACATACCTACTCAACCATTCCCCAAATCCAGAGTTTGGTAGAGCTTAGAGCAGTAAAGACCTGCAGGACTCAGCCTTGCTGAGATAAAATCTGGTACATCAAAGTGATATGTGCACACTACACTCCATTTAGGCTTCCAAGATTCATATCAATGAAAGAGTCAAACAGCTAACTGTTGACAAGTTGCAAGAATCAAGAATTCAGCATCAAGAACTCCAGACATCTTACAGACTGCATGCTTGATAAAATAGGGGAGGCATGCCCATGTTATTGAAGCCCAGTGTTTCCCAACCATGCTCCTAGAGTGTCCCTGTCCTGCACATTTCAGCCTTTTTCCCCTGCTCTAACACACCTGACCAAACTCATCAGCTCCCTCCAAAGCTATTCGCTAGCTGTAATGTCCTTATGACACAAAGGATAACACGCAAAGCTGCAGGGTTGGGACATTTTAAGCATTCAATCATTGGCAAACTTCAATTAAGTTATTTAGGTTCTTTCATAACATGGCTAAATGATATTTGTTTGAGAGAAAAACACCTTATGCACAACATTAAATTGATGGTAGATGCTTTTTGTGGAAAAATCCTCAAGAAGAAATCCAACCAGACTGCACTATTGGTACTGTAAAGCACTGTATGTTCCATTTAAGCTTCCAAGATTCATATCAATGAAAGAGTCAAACAGCTAACTGTTGACAATTCAGTAGTTCTAACAGTTCGGCTTTTCCACTCCTGCTGCTAGATAGCATCAAGAATTCCACAGAGACCTTACAGACTGCATGCTTGATAAATTAGGGGAGGCATGCCCATTTTACTGAAGCCCAGTGTTGCTCCCAGAGTGTCCCTGTCCTGCACATTTCAGCCTTTTCCCTGCCCTACGACACCTGACCAAACTCATCAGCTCTTTCCAAAGCTATTAGTTAGCTGTAATGTCCGTGTTACAGCAGGAATAACACAAATTTGCAGGGATGGGACATTTTAAACATTTAATCTTTGACAAACTTCAATTACGTTTTTTAGATTCTTTTATGAAAATGGCTAAATGATATTTGTTTGAGAGAAAAACACCTTATGCACAACATTAAATTGATGGTAGATGCTTTTTGTGGAAAAACCCTCAAGACGAAATCCAACCAGACTGCACTATTGGTACTGTAAAGCACTGTATATTCCATTTAGGCTTCCAAGATTCATATCAATGAAAGAGTCAAACAGCTAACTGTTGACAATTCAGTAGTTCTAACAGTTTGGCTTTTCCACTCCTGCTGCTGGATAGCATCAAAAACTCCACAGAGATCTTACAGACTGCATGCTTGATAAATTTGGGGAGACATGCTCATGTTATTGAAGCCCAGTGTTTCCCAAACATGCCCCTACAGTGTCCCTGTCCTGCACATTACAGCCTTTTCCCTGCTCTAACACACCTGACCAAACTCTTCAGCTCCCTCCAAAGCTATTAGCTAGCTGTAATGCCCATATTACAGCAGGCATAACACAAATTTGCGGGGTTGGGAAACAGCGTTGTAGCCTGTCTTTCTTTGAAATAAGACAGATTCCTTAAGGAGCGGAATGTGTGTCCATGTCTACATCACATTCCTCAGAACGGCCAACAGCAACGAGCTGTCGGGATGCGATTCCGATGGCACGAAGCCAGGCGTCCTCAAAAACAGAGTGAGAAAAGATTCGCCTCTGAAAAGGAGAGACGAGCGCCACTTTTTTGATGAGAAATCAGCGCTGTTTTGACATTAGATCTGTTCTTTTGAAGCCAATTAATGACTCTGGCTGAGATCTAGACATCAAATACATGCAATACATTTCTTTCTCTCTCTTCTCGCTCCTTCTCCTGCCTTCCTCCCTCTCTCATTCTCTCTTATTCTCTCTCTCGGTGGAAAAACTTAACAGACTGAGCTGCCCTACAAATACAGTTAAATAAGCCTCATCAAAATGCAGGAATCCTCAGGATGTGCTGGCGTGTTTGGGGACACAGAAAAGAGAGCAAGATGACAGGAAATAATATCAAACGAACAGTTCTCGTCTTCACGGAAAAGGCACCAACCACTGCTGAGCTCCAAGGGGCACACACACACACACCTCTGTCACGAAATAGACTGTGGACAGTGTCCTGGATGCCAAAGTTGATTTTGTAACCCACTGCCCAGCTGGAATTACTCCTGTGTTGACAAGGGGCTGCTAGGTTAAATAGTAATTTTCCATTTCCAGTACACCCTGGAGAGCAAAGAGTACCTCAAAAAATTGGCGAAGCAAAGTAATTTGAGGGTTTTTTTCAGGTAAATGTAGCTGTAATCTTCCAAATTGACACATACAAACCTGAAGCAAAGTCACATTATGATTTCTATTCAGGCAAATAGAGCCTAATACTTAAAACAGCCACTTACAGTAACCCCAAAAGGCATTTGGACATTTAAAACCATTTAACCACTGGTAAACTTTAATGGCCTTTCATTAAACGGGAAAATTATACTTCTTATAGAGGAAAAGCACCTTTAGCACAACACCAAACAAAGGTCAGACTGTGGAAAAATCCTGGAGAAGAAATCTAACCAGACTGCACTACTGGTACTGTAAAGCACAGAGGTGGAAATGTCAAAATCTGGGGCCGTTTTTCTTTCAGTGATGTCGCTGAGCTTGTGTCCATCGATGGAATCATGAAGTCAGACGTATACAAAGGTTTCCTGGATGCAAAGCTGCAAAGAAATGGCTGAAATGCCTTTTGAAAGACTACCAAAAATGATAATGACAAATAATGGAAATGCCACTTGAGTTTGACAGTTCGCTTACTAACACAGTGAACTTTGGCTATATATTTCAAGTATGGCACAAATGTCCAAATACCTTTTTGGGGCCAGTGTACATCAGCAGCTTAGTAAAAAGTTGAAATTCGTACCTCAGATGTAGCTCATCCGAACCGGAGGCTTAGTTTTGACAGACGTTATGACAGGCTAACGGTGTTAAAACACCTCAGATAACGATGCTAACAAATTAGCTCAGATATTAATACTCGTTACTGTCAAAGTTCAGCCTGTTTTGGCTGTAAATTTCGATAACGGCTGAATATTTTTCAATGGGCAGAGCACAAATACTATTCGGGGCTGGTGTACAGGAGCAGCTCCCTGAAAAACTGAAATTTTAACCTCAGATATGTCGGGTTTAACGCTAATTTTGCCAGGCTAGCGCTACATATCGGATAATAACGCTAAAAAACACTCACCGTCGAAGTTCAGTCCGTTCTGGTTGTAACGGTTTTAACGGTTGAATAGATTTTCAAATGCGAGCGCGCGCACGAGTTGAAAAGCAACAATTACGGCAGAAAGTCTCACCTTTGGCTTTTCATTTTGCTCTCCTTCTTATTGAGGACTCCCGGCACGCAGTTGGTCAGCTCGGTCCAGTCGGCGTGCAGACCGCAGCTCCAGCCGGTGGAGAAGCGAGAGAAGAGCCACGTCTCTTTGCGGTTCGGCCGGTAGCAAGTACACTTCTTCTGGCCGGGTCTGCAGTCGCAGGGAACCTCCAGCCGGACGTTTTGCACCAGGTGCCGGCCGAAGGTGGTGCCGCCGGTCTTCTGGATGTGCAGGAAGACGATCACGTCGTCGCCCTTGATTTGGAAATCCACCGAGCGCTCCAGATCTCTGACGGGGAAGTAGTACTTCTTCACGTAGTGCGGGTCCGGGGTCGGATAGATATCCGCCTCGTCCTCGGCGTGAGGGGAGCCCAAGTTCATCACCCCCGGCGCCACGTACTGGTACAGAATCAACATGAAGAGGACCGACCCGACCACGACGAACCAAAATTTGCTGGTCCGCCCAACCATGTTCCTTCCAGCGTGCTTCATACGTTACCATTTCTCGGTTCACACAGACTTGAGGGGCTGACGAGACGTTACCGGGGACGCTAACACGGCTCGCCCGCCGGCCCCATCAAACGAACGAACCGCGGCTCTCATACAAAGTGCGGACACACATGTGGAGAACGAAAAGGAGCCCAAAATGCCTCCGGGGGGGGACAGCCGAACGTGTCCGTGGACCAACCCGCGCCTGTAGCCAGGTCTCCCTTCTCCGGACGTCGCCACTCTCACTCGTCGGCGTGCTAGCTTGTTTTAAAGTCCTCCACTCACCACGACGTTGTTTTTTTTTCACCCCACCCGTTTTCCGTCAACCGCCAACCCCCCCTTGCGCTACGATTGGCTAGCCGCGTCCCGCCGCCTGCGCTAGGATTGGTGGAGTAGCGCAGGTAGGCGAGGTTTATCGCAATACGGGTGGGGGAAAAATAACATTGACTAGCGTCGCACAGCGAACAGAAACTGTTAAATATTTTGGTTTGTTTACGACGCGCACGCTTTCTAATGACTTTTTTTTAGAAGGATGTGATACTGAGAGCTAGCCCTGGCTCTCCCCTACAAAAATTAATTTAATTTTATTGGTCTGTCCCACAAGTCCAAGGCGGTATTTCACAAAACAGGATTTCTCAGTTTAGCCAGATAACTTAAGCCCAAAGTCAAGCTTGTCCAATAGGAAAAGAGCTAAAGGACATTCTCACTGGACCATCCTCACCTTTGGGCTTAGATTATCTGGCTAACTGAGAAATCCTGCTTTGTGGGGGAAAAAACAAGTTACCACTTACTTACTTACTTACTTACTTATGTATGTATGTATTTGTTTATTTATTTATTTATTTATTTATTTATTGCACTTTAACTCAGCTCATGAAAACACAATATATATGCAGAGATCGGACTGGAATTGGGAACCACTCAGCTCAAGATCTCTTATGCATTAATATATATGTATATATAATATATATATATATATATATATATATATATATATATATATATATATAGTTGGAGATGTGTTAAAAAAATAGTAAAAGAGAACCACAGAATCAACCCCATGAAAAGACATCGGCTACTCAGTGCTTCCCAGTGAATTCAGTTCACAGCTAGTGGGCAGCATTTAGGGCTCTTCATGGTGCAACTTGTCAGTGCCCACTTGCTGGCGTTCATAAGACAAGTCCAGAGTAACGCTGCTCGAGGAAACCTTTCATGCCTTTGCACATTCGGCTCTGTGTGAATGAGAGATAGGTGGACCTACTGGAAACAGGCTCTCATGTGTGCTAGTGCACAGCTCAGATTCCCCACTTCCTTATGACCTTCATTCCTCAGCTGCGAATGGCACCTCCACTTTTGAGTCATGATCATAAACACAAATTTAATAGTGCATATGGAAATCGCTTCATTCAGGCCATGTGTGGGCTAATATAATCCAAGAGAACTCGTTTACTGCCACAGCATGTGTGATGGCAGGGTGGGGTGGCACAGATTTAACTCTTTGTCATTGATCCCCATACTATGTGTTAGGATAATGGCAGGAGTAAAAACAGACAGTGAAAACAGATGTTTTTAATGTCAGCAAATGTTGCTTAGAATTAGTGCATTCATAACTAAATTTATGTTAAATTCACTCGTGCCAATCAGCAACATGGGGTTGGTGTGCACGTGTTATGATGATCGCTGGTAAACATTAAAAGGCCATACACTCAAAGAATGAAGAAACAAAAATTGGCTTTTACTTTAAAGCAAATGTAAACATTGAACTGAAATTGAACTGTTGGAACAACACTATGGTGGAGTTTCATGGCGGACAGGGATGTAGATGCTTACCAGAATAGAGTTAACTAAGGTCTTTGTGAGATATACCAAATGACCTTTTCTTTCGGTGTGATTTTTCCGTTTTCAGTCGTCTTTCTACAGTTATTTTATGTTTTGTTTTCTCTCAGTTTCTTTTTGTTTTTTTACCCATGTTGTGTATTTGGTGATTACTATTGCACTATGTTGTAATGTATGGTATGTCTACTGGACCCCAGGAAGTATAGCAGCTATCATGATAGCGGCTAATGGGGATCCTAAAAATAAACAACAAAAAAAACAGCATTTCATGGCCACCAAATAACATTTTTGAATTAATTAAATTTAATGTTCCATTGATTTTATCATTGATTGTACTGTATTGTACGAACAGTAATATAGTACAGTTATTATTTAGTATGCTATTTAGTGTGTGCAGCATATAATACAAAATGGCATGTATGTATATATATATATATATATATATAGCCCCAATTCCAAAAAAGTTGGGACACTGTGTGAAATGTAAATATCTTATAGACCCATAATTTATTGAAAATATATAAACATATCACTGCTGTCAGAACAAAACCTTGTGACAGCAGTGATATGTTTATATATTTAACTAAGGATAACTAAGGAGAAGGAAAAAACCTACTTCACTCTTAATGTAAGTCAATGGAACCAGAGTAATTTTGGTCCATTTCTCTTGGTCCATTCATCATGAAATGTACACACAATGTAAACGGCATTAGGCATTTTCAAACTATGAAAATTTCAAATTTTCAAATATGAAATTACTCTTGACTTTTGCCTTATGTTATCTGGTTAACCAAGTAATCCCGATTTGTGAAATACTCCCCATACATTCTCAATAAATAACAAATTTAATGCAAGATTAATGCTGGTTTGCCTAAAACTTTCATTGAACTCATGAATGGACAAGGAAAGCACTTGAGAATGAAGGACTCTTTGCTTCTGCATAGAGCAAATAACACTAATACTAAGATTGCGCATGGAGCAATAAACACTGAATCAGAAGCTCAGTTAGGTAGTCTCTAGTAATGAATGCTTTCCCTCTCATGTTCTGTAGCCTCATAGCTATTTTGCTTCAGTCAACTCAAAATAATAATGTTTACTCGTTACTCACTCAAAACCCAGCAAGCGCTATTAGCATGTTTTTATTTACAACCCGGCAGCAGCCTCAGGCTCCGCCCCCCCACTGTTATTTAATATGTGAGTAAGTAAGTGATTACTGCAACCGAGACACTGGAGATACCACTGGCTGATCATTCCGTGCTGACAAGGTGCACTACTCTGATTGGACGAGTCAGCCAGGCCTCAATGCTGCTGTGCAGAAGCAAAGAGCCCTTCATTTTCAAGTGCTTCTCTGTCCATTCACACGAGTTCAGTGCAAGGGTTAGACAATCTGGCCTGAAACATGCATTTAATATGTTATTTGGTATATTATGTAATACTCTGTGGCACAGCATTGCACCCCTCAGCCTCACCCGTTGAACAGAATTACAAAAATACATCATACAACCACTGGGAACCATCAACTGCGATAAAGACTGCTAGAGTAGTCACTGTTGTACAGACTACTAAATACAGGCTTGATATTTTGGCTTCTTAGCAGTAATGTTAGCTTTCTGCTTTAAGTATCCTCTGGAAGCAGTTGTAGCTTTTCTACAGTTCATCCCACCTTCAGGATATGTCATCAAAAGGGGCTTTTCCTTTTCTTTAAACTGGAGGGTCTCACTCTAGAAAGTATTGTGGCACCACTGTTTGAGGCAAGTAGGCAAGTTTACAGCAAATGAAACAATGATTACATTTTTCATGGTAGCAAGAGTTCCCTTTTAACTCAGTGGGCCTTAAGGGCTGCCGCCTAGGACCCCTGTTAGGGGATGATTGCGAATGGAATGGCAGAAGCTAAATGGTAATAGCAGATAATCCTTCAACAGATTATGTCAACAAATTATAGTTATTATAGTTTTGTGAGCAGTTTTGTTTTACACTGCATCACAGAGGTTAACCTGGGCTGGACCTTCTAATGGAATCTGATGTAAATGTATATCATTTCCAATAAATTCTAAGGAATGTAAATAGTTTGCTGTGATAAACCCAGAAATATGTATCTAAATTGCAGACAGAGGGTGTACCACTGAAGCCTTCACTTCAGCAGAGCATACTGCCAGAAGAAAACTAGTTTTAAGCTCATTTCAAACAATGCTGAGAACCCAATGTATTAACACATAGACTAATCTTAACAATAAAGGGCCTCATTCACCATATCTTCCTAAGTTTTTTCTTAAATGTGTTCTTGAGAAAGGTCCTAAGAAAAAAGTTTACGTCAGGTTCATGACGTGTTCTTAAACCACAGAATTGTTCTCACCTTGGTGCTAAATAAGAAAACATTGGTGAATGTCAGAATCTTCGTGGAATCTGGTTAAGTTGGTTTTAAGAAGAAATTTCTTCTTAAGAATGGTTGGATGAGGACCATTGTTCCCACTTTATTGGCACCTATAAGAAGGTGAGGCTGCTTCACCTCCTAAATCTCAGACTAACCCCTCACAGCATCTAATATCACTTTTATGACTCATATGATTACACACATAGCTACTCATAGTCAACTTTAGCCAATGCTAAATTTTAGATTTGAACTGATGTTCTTAAAAAAAGCATTGTGACTATTTATTTGACTTGTTCTCTTCTGATGTAGAGTGCTGTGAAAATATCAGAGACCACCTTTCATTGGTCAAAATGGCCATTTAGTATAAGTTGTTCATTTTCAAGAGATATTTCTGATGATATCTCTTAGAGATTAGATAATCCACTTGCAAAAGAAATTGGAAAGTCAAAGGAACATAAGTGAAAAAACAGGAGTTTCCAAAACTGATTAAAAGATGCAGAGAAAATGTGACTCCTAACAACCCTGAAAGACCACCAAAACCACCCCATCAGATAAACAGCACTTAAAGCTTTGATCTTTGAGAGAGAGGAGAAAAGCACACTGCTTCAGATCTGAAAACATCCACAGGTGTTTCTGTCCATCCTTCCACTGTGAGAAGACGACTCAGCGCTATGGGTCTGAAAGGATGTGTAGCTGTCATGAAGCCTTTAATGAGAAATGGAAGCAGATAAAAAAGGAACAATTGCCTGGCCACCCCAGAGTACAGACTTCAGTATCATTAAAGTGTTTGGGATTACGTGAATTGGAGAAACAGAAAGTGCAACCAACTTCTAAGACTGAACTTTGCAATAAACATGCTCTAAATATTGAACGGTGATATTATATTTATGATAATTATTGAGGTTTCTGTGTCATTTCTATAACATGTAACACACTCTTTAAAAAGATGGTTCTTTAGTAAAGAAAATGGTTCTATATAGAACCATGAACACTCAAATAACCCTTTGCCTGCTTAATGGCTTTTTATTATCATTATCATTAAAAGGTTCTACACACCTCAAAAA